GAATCAACAATGATGCAAAGAGGTAAAAATGACAAGAAAATGACATTATGCGAACAAACAAGTCTCGATTTCTTCCAAACGTACGCACAACATGTGAAAACCGCGCAAAATCTGACAAGAAAATGACAGCAATAGAAATGAAACCCCTCTTGCCTCCCTCTTCCTCCCGGCCGGCAAAAACTTCAGACACCGCCTCTATTTACACACCATCAACAGGGCGGTCTTTCGCTCTTTGGCCGGGTAGAAGAAGAGCAGGGGGATGGACGCCTGATGCACAGGCAGTAACTTGTAAAACTAACATGGTGACGTCCTTCGTGAGTGCCCTGCACTTCAACGAATGGTCCTTCTTCTCTACTGTGCTGCCCTCGGTCAGGCGGAGGACAACGACAAGCGGCTGGACCACGCCGGCAGCGGTGATGCAGGCTGCTTGCGGTTGCGGGCGTGCGCCGCCTCCAGCTCAGAGGTGAGCATGTCGAACATGACCTGCACGTCCTGGTACCCGCAGGTCTGCACGTCCTCGTGGAGCTTCAGTATCCCGCCGCTGCCTGCATCACAGTAGGCAGATTCAGTTTCAGACAAGCTTTTTTACTTTACTTTTCTCTTCTTTTGAGACAAGTTTCAGATGTGTTCTTTGTTGAAAAAAATCTCTAACATAAGGTACATTGACGTCTCAGTTTCAATCAAACAATGCTACAAAAGTATTGATTGCTTTCTAGGCTCATAGCAACAGGAGCTTCTGCTCCATTCCCTACTGATGAAAAAGGCACCACAAGTTACTTCAGTCCATCCAAATGGACGGACAGACGCAAATAGAAGGCCTCTCCCATAAGAGATGGAAAAGGCCTACTGGTCCAGCAGGAAATCCGTACAAGGTATGAGAGATCGATCTGAGTGGTCCTAAAGCTTGCAAAAAGAAAAGATCTGATGGATGATCATTGAGGCCCCTTGGTGTTTGGAGCATACTACGAATTTTCCGACGTGTACATGTTTCATGTGAAGTTCCTGTAAAATCCTATGGTTTGAAACACAGAAAGCCTCCACGAATCCCATACGAATTTAAGCTAGAATCCTGCAAACCATGCCATGCGTACCTCATCACACCACGCGATATTGAAATCGAGAAGTAAATGTTAGTAGCACTGCCGCGGCTACACAACGAGATCCCGGAGAGCGAATTTACTGCACTTAATTCCGGAGATAATACTACCCAGCAGAACAAGCATCATCTCCTATTCTTTGGTCTGCATGTTGGGGATCTATTTACCAATTTTCTTCTAATAACAGAAGGGAAACTTTCGGCCTCTTCCACTCGACAATCCATATCACACATTGTTCACATCACAATCTATTCAAAATGATGTTTGGTGCAGTATAAAGACCAACAAACCAGCTTACAGAAAGAAGTGAAAATGTAGAATTACAGGTAAATTGTCATGTTTTTCTGTATAGTCGTAAATCTGGACTGTATTGTACTTCTGTTCACCAGATCTTCTTACCCACAGGTAAGCAAATTTTGATTTTCTTCTGAGTGCAGAAATTTCTCATCTTTTTTCTCTTTGTATCCCTTTAGGCGAACAACCAAATAAGGAATAGCCCTTGAACGAATACATATCATTACTAAGAGGGAAAGAAAAACAACTTTCCTATCGATGAACAAATAAAGGGGCCCAAGAAATCAATCATTCCCGTGAAATCGAAATTTGCTGCCAAACATGCATCTAGACGTCCCGACCAATGACCTGCGTTTTTTCAGACCCACATTTCATCTGTTTATTCTTTCACTCATTTCAGGAACACTGAAGGAAGCAAAATGAAGAGAAAATCTTCGCCATCTAGCGCTTCCAATCAAGAAACCAACCGGAAATCTTCACCGTTTTTCTAGACCAACATGCGTGTGGGCAGTGGTTGAGTTGGAGAGGAGTGCGGGGAGGGAGACTGACCCGACTTGCTGCCGCGGAGGAGGCGGCCGGAGACGGCGGCCCACGCACGGCGCGCCCGGAACACGACCTTCTTCCGCCAACACGCCATCAGCGCTGCGGACGTTCTGGTAGTTTTGCAGTGGCGGTTCCGTCGCCGTCGGCGTCGGCGTCGGCGTGGTCGTGGGTGGCTTGGCTACTGCGGAGTGGCCGTTTTTCTCTGCTCTGTGCGCGTGACGCCGGGAGGGGGCGGCTTTTTATCCCCTTGCGGAGGAGGCGGCTTGGAGCGTTGGCTCCCCTTTTGCGATTAATATTTTCATCTTTTGCTGCTTCGTTTGCGTGTTAGCTATGTGCACGCCGGGTTTCTGGGTACACACCGTTGCCGCTTGTGTGGCAGATCTGATTTGGGTGGCAGGGATTAATCGCAAAATCTACTTTTAATGGCCCTCGCTAGGCGTTATCCGGTTAATCCCGCGAGCGGATGCGGATCAGCCGTTTGAAACTACTCCCTCCGTTCCTAAATATAAGTCTTTATAGAGTTTTCACTATGAACCATATACGGATGTATATAGATGCATTTTAGAATGTAGATTCACTCATTCTGCTCCGTATGTGGTCCATAGTGAATTCTCTCCAAAGACTTACATTTAGGAACGGAAGGAGTATATGGTTACAATCACGGCCCACTAAATCCTCGATACATGGGGTCATGCCTATGTATGGAGCACACTGCAGTGATGCATACATGGGGTCCGACTATACAATACTACATATTTTGTTCTCTCCTAAGTTTCTTTTGTTGTGTTGTGCTAAAAGGCGTCGTTTCCAAAATTCTTATCAGTTGTAGAAACTACATCCATTCGAATCTTTTTTAAGTCTACAATGCAAAGTGTGAGCTTCAACCAAATTCAATCGGCTCTATAATTCTAAATCACATCCACACTGCAGTTTTTGTGTGTTGCCCCCCCCCTCCCCCCTCCTAAACTGTTGCGGCATTCTCTTTTGTGACACCGCCCAAAATCAAAAACTTTTTCAAAATGTACACATGTACGTAATAAAGATTGGGTGAGTTGCGGTCATCGGCCGACTAAGAAGAGATATAGCTTTTTGCACGGTGGGTGATTCGGCTTTGTAGTATGCGACTTGCATCACGTCCTAGCATGCATCATTTACATGTTTGAATGGATATTTCAACGTTTTAACAATTCAAACCTCAAATTTGTGAAACTGTATAAAGAAAGACCCAATAATTGGACCCGCCTGTCGTAGGTATGTCGACGACACCATTGCACACGAGGAGGAGCAACCACAACTATAGTTTCATTTTGTAGGGAGCTACAGGCTTTAGGTATTCACATATTCAACTATGCATGTCGGCTACTACAAAACCATAATCGATGCTCGTCGAAATTTCATTCATGGTACTAGCCCATATATCGTACATAAGGAGTGGATCCAAACGACACTCATATGGCTATTGCCTTTGTACTACAAGGCTAAGAAATGGATCAAGACTATCATGCAAGAACGCCAAGGAGATGGACCCAAGACATTAATTTTGGGGCAGAAGGAAAAACCGGCACTTTGTTCCTAACGAGCTTAGTAAAGATCGAGATAGGTATATTGAAGCATGTTTGCATTGACCTTCTCCTTTCGCAGTACAGAATTATGCGTGCGAACTTCAAATAAGCTTTTTACAAAATGTCCTAAAGTCTAGGATAATGTCCTCAAATAAATCTTATATGCAGTGTAAAAAGAAACACAGCGAATATAATACCTAAAAGAGAGATAAAATCAGTAAGATGTTTACGGACAACTTTTTTTTAACTATATATTTATGGACAACTTACTTTGCCCTCACATATTGTGGTTGCTAAAAATAGACTGATGCACTGCTAAAAAAATGACATGATATGTGTCAGAGATAGTAACACGTATCTAAACTACTGATTCAATTGGGCATGCCTAAAAAATCCTCTGACTCCATGTGCAGCGGAGCTTTCGCTTGTCATTACCTTTCCTGTACCGGCCGACCTGACGCCGCGGAAATTTCGACACGTCACCGCGAGCTCACGTGCTTTGGCGACATCAGACCGTTCTGCGGGACCCACCGCGGCGACCAGCATTCATTGGGTGGGCGCGAGCGTGTGTAACCTCCAGCTGGTGAGGGGGCACGTGGCGAGACGCTACAGAGCACCGGCGAGATATTTTTAGGAGCTGACGGTGCACTATCGTACCATGATCGCCCGGATATGGTCGCTGATATTTATTCTCTCTCCACGGATCTGGGCTATGACTTCAGGGTGTGTTTGGATTCCCTCCACTCCTCAACTCCGCTTGTGGAGCCGGTGGAGCGGCGCCGAACGCCCGAACTCTGCGGAGTTGAAAATCTGAAGCGGAGCAGGCTACAGTGCAATTCTACGGAGCTACAGTTTTTTTTTTTGAAGGCAAAGCAACGCTTTATAGATTTAACGGTTCTCGGGCATGTCACCCGAGACACAAACAGCCACACTGGGCGGTACAATAGAGTTCCACTCCATATAGTTATTAGGAAGACACATACGACCTATCTTGGCTAGTTCATGTGCTGCTGAATTCGCAGACCGTCTACAAGCAATGATGCTAAACTTCGAAAACCACATTTTCATCTCGTATTTGAGGTCTTCAATGATTGATGCATAAGGTGAGGAGTCTGCCGCACGGGCGTTCATGGCCTCAGCAAGTAACTGTGAGTCGGTTTCAAAGGCAACCCTCGTCGCTCCCAGTTCCGACGCCGTCATCACTGCTGCCGCCAATGCATTGACCTCTGCCCCAAACGCATCTTGGATATTCTCCTGACGGCCAGCCCGAGCAGCAAGAACCTGCCCCGAGCTATCTCGAGCAATCACACCCCATCCACCCATAGAGCATCCTGGAGGGAACGCTCCATCAAGGTTAAACTTGACCGTCTCTGTGTGCGGTGGATTCCACTTCTCCGGCGGCTTCTTCTTCTTCTTCGGCGTAAAGACTTCCTCATACTCTAGTGCATTGCATCGGATTCTTCTGACCATCTCTTCCACTTGCATGGGCGTCTCCCCTTCCCGGACCTTATTCCTCTAATTCCACCATTGCCACCAGAAGGTTATTATTAGAACACGCTTCTTTTCGTCTAACTCCCACAGTATATCAAGCATCGCATGCACACTAGTGATCTGTTCGAGCTACAGTTTTCAGGATCTCAGATCTGGAAAATCACAGAGTTGATAAGATTTACGGAAGAGTTGCCACCGCCAAGTGGAAAACGGTTGGAGCGGCCGCGTCTGAGTCGCTCGTTTATGCAGTTCTGCCTCTCCTCCTGGATCGGGAGCGAAGCTGTTGCCGAACAGTTTTTTTTAGTGCTATTTTTTAGAAGGAGCAGCATTTTGGGTGGAGGAGCGGGAGTTGAGGATTCAGAGGAGCTGGGCCATTTCCGAACAGGCCCTGAGTGTCTGAATACGTACCACAATGTTGCCACATTAATTAATTTGATTTGATTGAGATGAGAAAAAAGTCTCTATTGCTACGCAGTATAG